GAGAGAGAGAGAGAGAGAGAGAGAGAGAATGGAAGGAAGGGGGAGAGTGAGAAGAAGAAAGAGAGAGAAAGAGAGCTTATTATGCTACGCATTCGAAAATCGGATGGAAACAATATTCACGATAGAACGTAAAACAAGCGCGTTTTATAGTTGCGACATCACTAAAAACGTTACCAAGTGCGCATGAAAATATCTCGGTTCTTCCTTATCACATGTGCAACGATTTTCGCACCTGTCTGTCTACAGAATATTTATCACTCCGTTCTTTGTCCTTTGTAAAACAACACGACGACGTTCTTATCGCCATTGTCATATACTTTTTTTTTCTTGCCCTTTTACCTCCTTTTCTTTTTCTTTTTCTTTTTCTTTTTTTTTTCTTCTTCTTCTTCTTCTTGTTTCACATCTTCATACGGTAACGTGTACGTCCGTCGTGCTCGTCTCATCACGTATGTACATGTAAAAGCGACTGGCTGCCGATGATTGACTGGACCGTATTCAAAAGACAAAACGAATCAACCATCCATTCGTGATGTCGTTGATGACATCGGAGGGTACGGGTTATGTACCAAGGCCGGAATTCCAGTTGCGTCAGGCTGCTGACTGGTTGAAACCGAGCAAGAAATAGAGTGTTGCTATTTCTTGGTTGGCGTGCCTCGTTGCGTCAAACCTTCGAATCGTTTGAACGTGTAATTAATGAATACCCAGTCCTTGTATATTACCTCCCCGTCTTGAGGCATCGGCGCAGACGCTGTAACCAAAGAAGAGAAAGAAAAGAGAAAATTACACTCGGCTTTGAGGGTAATTTATTAGGGGGAAAGTCGTCGTGCCGTCTCTATATTTCCTTGTCGAAGTGTAATGGAATTATAAAACGTGTTTAGCGTACTTACGTATTTCCAATTTCACGTCCGGGAATTCATCGAAGTTAGAGGTATCGTCGATGGAACGTACTTCGACTGGAATTGCGGCTGGCCTTTCTCTGATATGTTCCCAATCGACGCCACGAAAGAACGGAGCTAGTTTAAGCTCTTCAATACCTCTTTGCGCACCTATGAATCATTTTTAAGTAAGAATCTTCGCACGAATCTTCTTTGTAAGAAAAAAATGTATGTCAAAATAAAATAAAATAAATGATAAAGTAACAGAAGTATGCGTATGGATTCATCCTTGATCTGTGAGATCAAAGATCAGGCATAATAGAGATATATTAACCTAGTCTCCTATCAGCTTCGCAACAGAATCTGATTATAGTATCTTTAGCTTCTTCACTGATGGGAACTTCTGGTGGAAAAACTAAAGTCTCTCTCCAATTCATAACTTTCCTATAAGTTTCTTGGGGGTTCTCACTGCAAAAGGGAGGATATCCTGAAATAAACATGATAGCTATTAATAAAGGCTCTGTGGCAAATGGCTCTGTGAAAGAAAATAGGAAATATTGAGTTATGAAACAAGAAGGTGCAGTTACCTATGAGCATCTCGTACATGATAACTCCCAAGGACCAGCAGTCGCAAGCAGGCCCATAACCAGTTTGCAAAAATACTTCCGGAGCTATGTAATCGGGTGTTCCTACCGTACTGTAAGCCAACGCTCTCCTATTTCTCTTCCAGCTCTCTGCTCTCCTTTTGCTATCCATCGCTCCGCCACTTCCGCTTCCGCACGATGTCACTGGTAACAAAATAATCAGAACTTGATAATCGAAACAAACAACAGACTACTATTAAACATTAAAACTGTTTAAAATCGAAGTACGAAGATTGTATCAGAGAAATGAAAGCGCAAGGAGCCGGAACAAACGTATAACAATACAGAGACCACAAGTTTTTTTTTTTTTTTGATAAATTTTTTTGGGAAAATCATTCAAACAAAAATGCATCGTTGTAAGTATAGGTGGAAAAGTTGGAAACGTTGGAAAGCAAAAGTTACTTACTGAAATCGGAAGGTTTCGCTTGACTGAGATCTCTATAGAAATCGGTTCTGTGAGATTTTTTCAAACCCGTGCACAACCCGAAATCAGAAAGTTTTATATGACCTCGTGCATCCAGTAACAGGTTGTCCGGTTTGATATCTCTGAGAAAAAGTTATTAAATAATCCGGTAAATCTGACTGTCGTCGTTTCATTTTTACTTTTATCATTATTCATTCTCCTTTGGTTTTGCTTTAATAAATTTTACCTATGAATAAATCCCAGTTTGTGAATGGAATCGATCGCTAACGCCGTCTCCGAAATATAAAACTGTGTGCATTCTTCGGAAAGCGTATCCTTCTTCATCAGCAGTGTCATCATGTCAC